TATTGCCATGATGTACTTAAATAGGGTATGATTTGTCTGGAGATCATGCAAAACAGTACTTTTCACTGTATCTTGGTACATGTGACAAAATAAATCAAATCAAATCAAGTCTGAAACAAACATTGAAATACACTTGGGTACTCCCCCATACCATTTGTTTCCGACATTATGCAATTCTGAAGGCTGATAACTATAAAATGTTGAATTCTGTTGAATACTAATAGCAGAGGTAATGGTTTAGCGCTATTATCGATGGATTATTAATCCAGAAACCCCAGGTCTTGTTCTGGGACCCGGGGTTCAACTCTTGCCATGGATAGTTGTTGAAACTGGAATTCAATAAAGAAAATCTGCAATGTGAAACCATTGTCAATTGTCAGAAAAACCTGTCTGTTCACTGATGTCCGCTGGGAAAGATAACTGCCATTTTGTCTGGCCTACATGTGACTCCAGACCGATTGAAGTGTTGACTTTTCACTGCCCTCTGGGTAATTAGGGATAGGCTGCTGACACCCACATCCATGAATTAATGTGTTTTAAGCACCAAACGCAATTACTCACTTTGTAGCAGTTATTGAAATCTTGTGCAACCAACTGAGATTTGGGTACATTTATATCATTATCGTCATTTTATCTTCCTTTCACTTTCTTTCATCCTTTCCTACTACCCTTCAAAAAAGCACCAGACTGAATGCAAAGCTAGTGACACTAATTGATTCTCTTTTTTTAAATTTGGATTAAAATAGTGCTGCACTTCTGCAAAACTTCTTCAGAATAACTTAAATTATGATGACACGATTTATGTTGTGAAAATTGCCATTGACTCCCAAGTCCTGCGGTTGTTTCTGTTTTAAGCACTTGGATTGTCTCCTAGAACTGTTGAGTACAACATCACTACAATAAACATTTGCACACAAAGGTATAATACTATGAATGCTGGAAATCCAAAATAAATGCAGGAAGTCCCGTTTGGAAGCATTTGTGGGGAGAGAAACAGAGTTGATCTTTTGGAACTTCAGAAGAAGAGTCATATTGAACTCAAAACACTAACTCCATTTCTGTTGCCACAGATGCTGCAAGACCTGCTGAGTTTCTCCAGCACTTTCTGTTTTTATCATAAAACATTTGCACATTTCTGCAAGTGCATTTTCTCTTTATTACAAAGAGGATTTGTTTGAAGAAGCTCAAGTAAATAGGATTGTGATGTCCTCCGTCCTTTTTCTAGCGCACCATGTTTTACAATACTACAGTTTCATTTTCTACAGGATACATCTCACACCAATCAAACCACACTCATGTACATTCTGCATATTACTCAGCCAGTCTTGAGGCAAAGAAGCATTGAACTAACTGACCCCATCTTAGTGTCTACACTCAATTCCTCAAGGGTAGCTGGATTTGACTGTATTTTATGGATTGGCTGGAGAAAGGGTGAGAAATCTGAAACATTAAGTTATACAACCCTCAACTTCTAGATATTGGGATATCAGCTATGAGGTAATCCTCTACAAAAATCCTTCCCAATCTATTAGTGTTCCCTGAAATTTGGTATCATTATCATGCAGTTGTTGTTTGACTCTCACTGTTTTATTTTTCCTTTTCCTTTTTATCCCTCCTCTCTTGCCACAAATCCTGATGCAGACTGAGAACTGTGTCTGTATGAATCTCTGTTCTGTGGACATCTAAAACAGGGTTTTGCACTTCCGTTTGCTTATTATGGTGAACCTAAATATTTCAATTAGAGTAGACTCTGCCTCTCATAATCCTGATTTAAAACATTTTATAGTCATAGTCATAGAGTCATACAGCACGGAAACAGACCCTTCGGTCCGACTCATCCATGCCAACCAAGTTTCCTAAACGAAACTAGTCCCATTTGCTTGCATTTCACCCATATCCCATTAAACCTTTTCTATTCGTGTACCTGTCCAAATGACTTGTAAATGTTGTAACCGTACCTGTATCAACCACTTTCTCTGGCAGTTGATTCCACATTCAAACCACTCTTTGTACGAAAAAGTTTCCTCTCAGGTCCCTTTTAAAACTTTATCCTCTCACCTTAAGATTATGCCATCTAGATTTGATTCAGGTCAGCTCATTATCATCTCATCTACTACTGTATGCAGCATACGCACGATGACCAGGGAAGAAGATGAGTACGGATCTTGGGAGCATTCAGTTCACCTTACAATAAAACCTTTCACTTGAAATGACCTCTGACCATGGATGAATCACAAGTTATTATTCACAACTTATTCTCTACTTTTTTGGATGTTGGGTACAAAGCATCTATAAGATTCACAGGAAAATTGATTCTAATTTTCTTAAAAGACATAAAATGTAGGAGCAAAATTAAGCCGTTCTGCCCATCGATCTGCTCTGCCATTCAATCATGACTGGTGTGTGTCTCAACACCATTCTCCTGCTTTCTCCCCATAACTTTTTTTTGTCTCTTTACTGATCTAGAACTTGTCTAAGCCTGTCTTAAATCCACTCAATGACTTGGCTTCCAAAGCCTGTGGCAATGAGTTCCAGAGATTTGCCACCCTCTGGCTGAAGAAATAGCTCCTCGTCTCAGTTCTGTAGGGTCGTCCCTTCACTCTGGAGCTGTAACCTCCAGTCCTAGTCTCTCCTAGTAGAAACATCTTCTCCACTTCCACTCTATCCAAGCCTCTCAGTATTCTGAAAATTTCAACGAGATCCCCCCTCATCCTTCTAAACTCCATCGAGTGCAGACCCAGAACCCTCAGATGTTCTTCACAGGACAAGCCCATCATCCCTGGGATGATTCTTTAAATCTCCTCTGGACTGTGCAAGGCCAGCACATCATTCGTTAGATACGGGACCGAAAACTGCTCACAAAAACCCAATGCAATAGTTATAGTTATGGATTTCTGGAAGTATAGTTATGACATTCAACTAATGTGCAAGGTTTAGAGGAGGTGCATTAGTGGATCTGTGAGTGACATTCTACTTGGTCCCTAATGGGTTATGTGATAGCTTCAAATAATTTACTTAGTTAGGTGATAAGAATATTGGCTCATTGAATTCCAATGTAAAATGAAACATGGGATTTTTTTTCATCTTACATTGTACAAAGGTTGAACCATGTTGCTGTAATTCAGTGAATTTGTGATGCGACCCTTATCCGTTATATAGCCAATCATTTACTTCCTCATGCACCTTCATTTATTGTTAAGTTGGGTTATTATAACCCCACTTTTTCTTCCTCTACATCAAAAAAAGGGGAGAGATTGCTCTGATGAAACATCTGCTAAACATTAATACTGTGGTGCACCTCAGACTATGTTGCAATGTGTTGATGAATCATGAAGAGTAGCATACAAAGAATGTGGTGCTTACTATTAAGGACGTTAAAAAATAGTAAACTCAGTTTAGCTCGTTGAAATTTGCAAAAAACTTACATCAGAGTTTTTTTTAGGATCATTCAAGGGATGTGAGTATTGCATGGCTAGGCCACCAATTATTGTCATCCCTCATTGACTGAAGAAACCTTCTTGAACCACAAATCCTTGGGCTGTAGGAACACCTGCAGTCCTAATAGGCAGGGAGTTCCAGGATTTTGACCAGTAACAGTGAAGTTACAGCGACATAATTCCAGTCAGAGCAGAGTTTGACTTGAAGGCTAACCTGCAAATGGTGGTGTTCCCACATACCTGCTGCCCTTTTCCTTTAGGTGGTAGAGGGTAAATTTAGATTGGATTTCTCCCTTGGTTAATGAGTTTGTAACCAGATGAAACCGAAAGAACTGCGGATGCTGTAAATCAGGAACAAAAACAAAGTTGCTGGAAAAGCTCAGCAGGTCTGGCAGCATCTGTGAAGGAGAAAATAGAGTTAACGTTTCGGGTCCGGTGATCCTTCCTCAGAACTGATGGTGGCTGGGAAAGCATCAGTTTATATGCAGATATCCACCCACCTCCCTATTTTCTGCATATATATCCACCCACCTCCCTATTTTCAGCATATAAACTGACATTTTCCCAGCCACCATCAGTTCTGAGGAAGCATCACTAGACCCTAAACGTTAACTCTGTTTTCTCCTTCACAGATGCTGCCAGACCTGCTGAGCTTTTCCAGCAACTTTGTTTTTGTAACCAGATGACATGGTCTCAGTATAAGAGGCAGGTCATTTAAGACAGTGATGAATAGTTTCTTCATTCAGAGAAAGATAACCTTTGGAATTATCTACCCAAAAGAGCAGTAAAAGCTAAACCGTTGGTTTCTCCCTTGAACATGTTCAATGACATAAAGGGGTTTTAGGGATATTGGTGAAAATGGTATAGGGGTAGATGAGCAGCCAGGTTTTATCAATAAGCCGAATGGCTGCTTCCTACTCTTGTATATTGTTTGTATATAACTGAGGTAGTTTGACTGTATAGGGGAAGATCCCAGCTAGATCTTTAACGTTTCTAAATTCATTGTTCTCCTATTTCTAACTCTTTCCCTGAAAGTACATGGGAAAACCTGACGGCCGGTGATTGTGGTAACGGCAAATACAAACTCCAGTAGGAGAGCTTGAATGTTTATGCCGATAAAATAACAATAAGCAGTGAGTTTAAAATAGGTCACACTTCAGGTGACTGCAGAAGTTTCATTTTCTCTAGTTTGTAACTTGCTTTCATAGCTCTATGGCATTGTCCCTTTACTCCTTTTGACAGCAAAATCTTTTTGTAGGTCACCACCAGTTTGTTGTGTTGAGAGTTCTTAAAAGAAAAAATATATTAACAGAAATGTGATCTTACAGCATACAATGCATCAATTTTCTACTGGCATTTGAGCAGTTAACTCTTTGTGTTCATGGTACATGGTAAGTTGTTTTTGTGTCTTAACTGCTTTTAACTTCTGTGATCTTGCAATGGAGTCCAACTTTGTGTTGGAATATGTTTGTTGTACTTTATCCTGTAAAAGTTGTGGATTTTCTTGTTCAAAGCAAACACTGAAGTATTTTTCAGTTGTTCAACTTTATGTCTCACTTGTAGGCAGCAAGTCAGATGGACTGAGAAGCCCAAGTGATGTATTTTTCTTGGGAATAGATGCAATAAATGACTCAGAGATGACTGGTTTCAAGACTAAACAGCGTAAGTGTTTTGTTTTAGAAACAATAAATGTCTGTCAAGTAATACAAACAAAATATAAATCTTCAAACCAGTTTGAGGGACAAAGTGCTAAACTCAGCAATATGCTCCCAAGGGCACAGGCAAAATAAGGGATTGGATTTTGCAGGACAGTGATTAGCCTGAGTATGCCTATTGAATTTCTTAATGCTCTACTGAGAATCAGTCTCTTCACAATTGTGTTTCCTATCCCGCTCCTATGATGCTGCTTGGCCTGCTGTGTTCATCCAGCTCTACACCTTGTTATCTCAGATTTTCCGGCATCTGCAGTTCCTACTATCTCTGTGTTTCCTATTAATCAGGATTATGATATATCAGTGGCTGGGATTCATTTTAGTACATTCTTGTCAAGGTCTCAATCCAAACAATTGCAGAGCATTGAAGAGGCAGTAGGGAAAGCCAAGGAATGGGAGCGTCAAGTTGTCTTGTGCCATCCCAACTTCGGAGGATTGGCAGCATAGATAATTACGTGACAATAATCTTCACATAGACCAAATTGAAGAGCCATAATCCCAGAAGAAATGATGTCTTCATCTCGATGAGAAACTAAATTGCTAAGTGAGGACCACCCTGCTGGCTTAGTGGATATATAATTGTCATGTATAACTGAACTAACCATTTATTGAAGTCCTTCACCTGACGAAGGAACAGCGCTCCGAAAGCTTGAGATTTTAAATAAACCTGTTGGACTATAACCTGGTGTCATGAGACTTCTGACTTTGTCCACCCCAGCCCAATACTGGCACCTCCACATCATGTACACCATTTATCAAGTGCTTGGGCTTTAATCCCTGATCTGCACTGCTCTCATTGAAACATTGGCAGAACAGTAAGGGGACAATAATGGGCTGTAGGAAATTAGAATTAGGCCGTAGGGGTGCGGAATTATTCAAGGAATTCCCACGGCTGGTCACTTTCAGAGGCCCTCAAGAGAAAGTGTGTATTGTTATCAGGTGAGGGGAGAACTGGGTTCAACAGTAACACTCACTCCCAATCCACAGGCAGTAATCTGCCACTGCTCAGTGCCTTGCATGAAGAAAGGACTAGTTGGGTCAGGAATCCACGATCTCCCTGCGTTGGTGGAACAGCCAGCATCCTATGAAGTGTGCTGGCACAAACAGGAACCGAATGGAGAAAGTAGTGTGAGGCTGTGAGTTTTGTTTTAAGAAGATTGCTGGGATTAACCTGTGGCATCCTTTTGAATCTATAAACAATAAGTTCAGGAATATTATTGCTAGCAGAGTCTCGGACAATTCTTGTCTGTCTTCTGTACTGGGGTGCAGTTTACGCTAGAAACAAGTTAAAGAATGGTGGTGTGAAAGAAAGAAATAGTTTCCTTTTGGAAAGAACTGCCAGGAAAGCAAAAGGACTTTTCTTTAATGAGTTAGAGATTTCAAATAATGCCTCAGAAATCTTTGACCTTTTAACCTGTGTTCCTTTAAGCTAATTTTCTATCTACTTTCAGATGATGAAAACGCCAGTGTAAATGTTGAACCTGAAGTCAACAATCCAGAGCGGAAAAAAAGCACTTCACTTAGCAGTTCAGAAGAGACACTTGGCAAAAAGCTCCTGAGGAAACTAAGTTAGTGCAACTGTTAATGTTATGTGTTTTTTAAAAACTCCACCATTGTGAAATGCAATGCAAATATCATGACTATAGTGCATAATTCTGTGCTGGACTGGGGCCTGAGTAAATGAGTATTGTTAAGAACAGGAACAGACCGTCAAACTGCATCATATCCCTTAACTTGCCCTATTCTTTCTCAATGCAACATCAATTGCTTCTTTAAGCCCATTTATACCTACAATTTTAACAGTCAATATTTTGAAAGGACAGCAGTTCTGAAACTGGTTCAACTGTTCTATCTACAACTGACTGTGTTTTCAGATTTAAAAGAATTGCATGAATTTACTCTTGCTGTTAACCAAGACTATCTCCCTTTCCCAAGTCATCCCCTCTAAACCAGCCTTATTTCCAGGGGTCAGGTTTGGCTGTGCTTTAGGCCATTGTTTATCAAGACCTAACTTGGCTTTATGTTCTCTGGACCAATCACCGACTTAGTTCCCCAAAATAAATCATTCCACAACTACCACAATCCCACCCCTGGACACCTCCATATCCTGCTGAAATCTGTGTGGCCAGGCTACAGAGATTTATCTACACTTCAGTTAGGGTGTTCTTGTTATGAAAATTTACCAAATACATTAAGCAGGCAACATTTGAGTTAGGTCTTTATAACTAGCCCCTTTGGTTTAAGACCAGGCTCAAAGAATACACAATTTAAAGTTTTGAATTTACAGTTGTGAATTAAATATTATCATTTAGTTGAGATGATAATTACAGGTTTATGACTTCTTTATAATCAAACTCTCACTACATTTATTTTTGCAGTAATTCATAAATTAAGGAAAATAGTAGCCTATTTTGCAGTTTTTTAAATAAATTCATTTGCAAAATGGTGTTGTCAGTGGGTAACTTAATTCCAAAACTTGCCTTACTTTTCCCAATCGTTTCACTTAAATTAATCACAGCCCTGTCACTACTGGCTATTGTGTGCTTTTCTTATTCCATGTATTGTTTCTAGGTGAGGAAGGCTTCATCAGCTCGCCTCTTTTCAATCTTGGTTGGCTACAACAAAGATTTTATGTTCTTTGTAGCATGCAGCTATATCTCTCCAACAAAAATTTCATCAGTTGGTTTACTGGAAACAATAAGGAGCCAATTATAAAGTTTACTTGCGTAGAAGGAAAAGCTACTTGCTAACCCTCAAAAAATTAAAGACTCCCTGCTATAGGAAAGATGTTGTAAAACTTGAAAGGGTTCAGAAGAGATTTACAAGGATGTTGCCAGAGTTGGAGGATTTGAGTTATAGGGAGAGCTGAATAGGCTGGGGTTATTTTCCCTGAAGCATTGGAGGCTGAGGAGTGACTTAATAGAGGTTTATAAAATCGTGAGGGGCATGGATAGGGTAGATAGACAAGGTCTTTTTCCCGAGGTGGGGGAGTCCAAAACTAGAGGGCATAGGTCTAAGATGAGAGTGGAAAGATTTAAAAGGGACCTGAGGAGCAGCTTTTTCATGCAGAGGGTGGTGTGTATATGGAATGAGCTGCCAGAAGAAGTGGTAGAAGCTGGTACAATTACAACATTTAAAAGGCATCTGGATGGGTATATGAATAGGAAGGATCTTAAGGAATATGGGTCAAATACTGGTTAATGGGACTAGATTAATTTAGGATAACTGGTCGGCATGGACAAGTTGGACCAAAGGGTATGTTTCCTTGCTGTACAGCTCTATGACTCCATGACACTATATGCTGTCAAGCACACAGACAAACTCAGATGGAAAGTACAAAATGAGATGGTATCCAGTACAAAAAGGAATATATTAAAAAAAAATGTAACCTAAAATCTTTAGGATATTCTTGAGGTGCTGAGTATTAAGCTGAGACCACTGTTGGCTAGGAATGTCATGGATCAATGACAGCCATGAATATTGCAGATGTCCCTTGAGTTCTCAGTGTTCAGATGTTTGTTCTAATTCTCTTTGGCTCTGGGATTTATTTTTCTTAGGAGAGCAGAGAGAGAGGACCCTATAATAAATCCATCTCGTCTTCTCTGACAATGTCACTTGAAATGCAGCTCATTTGTGTCTTTCTGTGTCTGGATTTGTTGTCTCTAAACTGGATAATTGTAGGAAATTTTGTTTTTTAATCTCCAACATGCAAGCCTCTCACATAAATGTAAATGAAGAAACCAATTTCTTCACATCTGGCTGGTTTCTGTTTTGAAAGAAATGTTAATTTCATTTTAGACTGGTTTTTGTTTATTGATTTTTTTTTCATTAATTCTGGCTCAACCTGTGGTCAGGTGATTACTGCAACCATTTATAAGTCAATGTCTTTTTTTCCTTTTTGAAAGCATTTCAGTCTGTAAAAGTCTCGAGTATTAAAATCAGATGATGGCAGTTGAAAATTGATAGCTTATATTTTATCACGCTTGTGACACATGTGACAAATTAACTTTCCAGGGTACAGTCACCTACTGTTAAGCTGATGTTAACTATTTGTATTCATTTCCAGTCAGCTTGACACCTCTCAAACCCACTCTGGATACCATGTGTCTGGCTATACTTACCTTCAATTAAAATGTGAAGATGATTCAGTAAATCCTTTTGCACAAGTTTGATGTGAATCCTTGTGGTGTCCTCAGATAGCTTTCGGATGATGGAAGCTTTTTTTTAAGTTTTGTGTTAGCTGCTTCCCTGCCCACTATTTATTTTCTTTTCCAGCTCCTCCTCCTTTCTCCTCCTAAATTGTTGTTTGTGCACCATCCAGCAAACAGATACAATGACAAAGTGGAGAGGCTGATCTACCATGAACTCAGCATTTTCCACTGATGGCATGAGTCAGATCAGTATTGTAAATGCCAGGTATGTACTGATGCACAGCCTAGGCTGCCCTGTTAGTAGGGTATTTTACTAAAGCTGAGGTAAAATAACAACCAATTACAATTTTACTGCAGGTCAACCCTAAGCCCAGAACAAATGTGAGTGAAATTTATTAGCAGTGATATAACGGTAACTAGATCTGATACTGTGTGACAGTTGCCTCCAGTAGTACTGCAAAATGTGTGGCCAATCAAACCCTTATTCAGTAGGCTGACAAAGGGGCTAATCTAACTTGATAGATTGCTGATGTTGGGAGCCAAGGGACCACCCATGTCTTGCATTTGCCCTGAGGCTTGAATTTTTGATTGGAAACTAGAACAGAGCAAAATAAGGGATCCAGGGAGAGCACTTTTCTGTTCAAAGTATTCTCAATAATTTCAAAAAAATAGTTCCCATCGTGACTTTGTCATTTCAAAGCTGCTTCACTTTGGTTCACTCCCATGACATTGTTGCATCCTACAGTGCAGTGGAAGCGTCCACAATTACAGACCGGTCTGTGGACCAGTCCAAGGCTTCCTGGCCCTGGGAAAAAAACAGTACCAGCAGAAATCGCAATGATCAACTCCCAGGGGAGTCTGAAGTTCTGAACCTATTAAAATGAATGAATGAAGCTGCCCTGGGCTTGGTACCCATTTGGTGCTGACAATGGACTAGCTGAAGGAGGAAAAAGGTTTAAAATTAGAGGCCTCCAATTTGGGCAAGAAATTTGCATTTTAGAAAGAATTGTAGTAAATATTTTTATAATTAATCTTCCCCCAGACTTTCATTGGCCTTTTACTTTTCTGCTTTGTATAGGCTGCAAACGGCAACACTCAAACTTGTGAATTGTGTAAATTATTCATAGAATCATCACCATCATAGAATTCCCTACAGTGTGGAAGCAGGCCATTCAGCCCATCAAGTTCACACTGACTCCGAAGAGCACCCAGACTCACCCTTCTGCTGTATCCCTGTAACCCTGCATTTCCCATTGCCTAATACGTTTAACCTACATTAACCCTGGACACTGTGGGCAATTTAGCACAGCCAGTCCACCTAACCTGCACATCTTTGGATTGTAGGAGAAAACCGGAGCACCCCCATCTGCTTCATTTCTGCTCCTTTTCCGTCTTCCCTGCCAGATTGATGAACTCATGTATAGGATAAATACGTTCTTAATTTGCTCCTAAAATTGATTTCTCTCTGGTTAATATCCAAGTTATATTTCTTGATGAGTGAATTACGATGTAGATTGTTTTCCTAGCACTCAGCTGTTTGTGATACACTAGACTTCAGTAGCAAGCCCAGTGGCAGCCTTCAAGGCATTTCATAAACGACTTGTACTAGTATGAACTGTAGAAGAGCACCGTAAAAATATACAAAACAGGTAAGCGAAAATAAAATGCAATTATCCAACACCATTCTATTTCACGGGATAGATATTTACAAATCAACCTGGTTCAGTAATGTTATTACATACCTCTGGAGCAGGTAAGACTTAAGCCCAGGTCTCCTGGCTCAGAGGAAGGGACACTACCACTGTGCCACAGAAGCCTCACAAACAAAGATGAGATTTAATCCCTCATGTCATAGTGTGACAGATTTTTACCAAGTATTTGAGAGTCGATAAATTAATTTTTGAAGTGTGTGGAAAAGAGCAGCCAATTTGCAAATACTAAAGTGACATAAATAGGAGTGCGAATAAAGATCAGCTAGTCTGTTTTTAGTGACATTGTTTGAGCGAAGACTGCTGGCTAGGACACTCCAAGGAAAGTGTTATGTGTTCTTTTAGATCCTCTTGGCCATGCCAGCATTTGACTTAGCAATTTGTCCAAAGATCACATAGCACTTAATACCTCACTGGAGAGATTGAACTGACTGAAACTACAAACAGACTGATGTAAAGCAGGATCCAGATTATCTGCACGTTTCCTCAAAATTCAAGACATTTGCAGGAAATGAACTCCCATTTTTAACACCATAGATTAATATTTGTCAGTCTGTGAAGTTATCACTCTCTGCACCACTTCTTTTAATGACATAAATAGTACTGTCGGCAATTATAACCACAGTAACTGTTTGGCTGGTTTGATAAATAAGTACAGAGCAGATAGACATTCCCTGTCCCACAAAAAAGAGGAAGTGCTAAACAAAGTCCCTGTAAGTAAAGATACAATGCAGTCTCGAATTGAACAGGAGACCAGGAAGTCTTTACGTTTCATCACTCACTCTGATTATTTATTTGTCACAAACCCCACTCATAGTATCCACTGTGCTTCTATGCTTTAAATCAGTCATTTAAATTAGTTTGTTATAAAATTTGTATTCATAAAGTTTTCCATTGCCTATGAAAATGCCTAGCTCACAATTTGGGACACAAGTAATTTGAGACATGAAACATGGTTAGTGTAAAACTGCTTGAAAGGAACAGGTGGTGTTCCCAGAGCTCTCCACCACTGGTTTATCCTACCACATTTCTGGGTTGTTCTAGACAAATTAATGGAGATTGATTGCCAGGATTAGTCAACAACTCCATTATCACAATTTGCAACTACCAGGTCAGTAGAAGACACGCTAGATGAACCTTGGTCTTTATTTTTGTAGCAACTCCTGTATTCCTACACACCCAAATTCTTCTGGAATACAGTGGCTGTTGTTATTTAGCCAGACAGGGCAGCTGTTCTGTGACTGCAATGCACCATATGTAATCATTAGTTGGACAGCTAGTTGATATTTTATGGTGACATTAACTGACAAATTAATGCTTGATTAGCAATCTGGAAGAATTCCTGTTTTTCTTTGAGGCATGTAGTGGGGTGTTTTGGTGTCCATGTGAATCTCTGGGAACAGGCAGGCAGGAGCCGGCTTCAACACCACAAATATATCCGAAAAGGGAGCGTTGCATCAGTATTAGAGTAGTATTTCAAAGTATCATAAGATGGTTGCAGAACAGGTTGAGGCCACTTGGCCCATTGTAACTTACCAACTCTGCAAGAATTACTTGCCTAGTTCTATTCCACTCATCTTTTCCCCATAGCCCTAGAATTTTTTTTACATAATTGTCTTATTTTTTTTGAAGGCCTCGATTGAATCTATCCCAACCACATTGTCATTCAGTTCAATGAGATCAACCTGTACTTGCTTAATATTATTTTCCCCACACCTGGACCTATTGTTTCTTTTGCCAGCCACGTTGACTTGGTGTCCTCTGCTTCTTATCCCTTTCATCAAAGGGAAAGTTCCTCACTATCTACGTTTACCAGTCCCCTCATGATTTTGAACACCTCAATAAAATCTCTTGACCTTCTCCAAGGAGAACAATGCCATCTTCATCCAACTATTTACGTAACTAAAGTTCTCATCCTGTAAGCATTCTTATGAATTCTTTCTGAATGCTGTCTAATCCCTTCACACCCTTAGTTTCAATCTCTTTTAGGAGCTGATGTTCTCAATCCTTTAACTCAGAAAGAGACCTCTAAGCTGTATTAAATGAGCACTCCCGGTCTCTTCCATTGGGAATGTCACTGGCAAGATCAGCATTTATTGCCCCATTCCCAATTGACTTTGAGATGTGGTGCTGAATGGCCTTCTTGAGCTCTTGCAGCCTGTGTGGTTTGTGGTTTATAATTTTGTAATGTTTGTCTCCAATGCTAAATGGCCACCGTGATCCTGCATGCCCACTCTGTGTTGGAAGGGAAACGCTCCATTTAATCTTCAGTCCAAAGCTAAGTGTCCTTGTCTGAAAACAGGGAGCCTGACTGAGTCCAAATTGATTTTACTCCACTCTGCAATGCTCCCACTCCAGGCTGTTAGCTGCAAATGATGAGTTGGTGAATGTTTCAGGAATTGAGAGAAGGGACCATTCCCGCTCAAAGCAGTTAATAATGCGGTCATTTAGGGGCTCTGAAAATAACAGTATATCAACTTGCAGAGCCAAATGAAGATGGATTGGAAAGTTCTTATATAATCCAGGTACAGCTCTCTCATTTTCGCACCTGTGGACTGCAGTATGCTATCTAATGGCGGTGTTACCCATAAATACAATCTTATCATTTTCAGCAGACACAGCAAAACAGGTTGCTAAACCACTTCAGGACAGTTGAGGGTCAAATGTATGATGGTGTGTCTGGACCAAATAGAATAGCAGGTTTATTTCCTTGGATTCATTATGAACCAAGCAGATTCAACATAACTTCAAGGGTATCATTACAGAAGCCTGCTTTTTATTCCAAATTTATTTACTTAGCTGAATTTAAATTACACAACTCTGGCAGTATTTCAATTTATAATCATTGAATTATTAGTCCAGGCTTCTAGTCACATAATCACTATGCTGCCATGCTTCAGAATTTGCAAGTGTGAACATTTTTCAAAATTTACATTTTCTGTTCTTGTGAATCGGTACAGGTGGCAAAAAGAGGAAGCCTTCCAGAGACAGTGAGAAAAGCCCTGAAGAGAATGTAAATGTACCTCAACTAAAGATCTGACATCTCCAGCAAAGCAGCAAGGCTAAAGCCAAACTGATGGGCCGCAAGAAAAATCACTCACTGGATACGAATCATTCCTGATACTCGAGCCTAACTAACAGAAGCTGCAATATTCGGACATTGTGAATCATGAAAAGGGTTTGTAATCATGAAGCAAAACTACAGCAGTGACAGCGGCACCCAAGTTATAGCTTTTCTTGTTTGATACTTTGAATTGAGAACTTAATTTTTGCATGTTTTTCCATCTAACTACACTGAATTTAAACTAGGGGATTTCAGCATTTTATGTAATTTATCCAAAGGATTGTACATCAAAATGCGTTTTTTTTCCATGAAGGTCTCTAATCATGTCACCCTAACCCAACCTCCCCTCATTTAATTCTGGGTGTGTTGTGATACTGTAAACACGCCCGTTTTGTGGCACATACTGGAGTATGCTTCAGGAATCTAACACCTCTCAGGTTTCACATAGCATCGACGCTGCATTTGAGCAATGCTTTTGCAATTCGTGAGATGATAATGAGCCTGTTTTATGCATCTTTGTCTTGTAAGACATCTCTGGGAGTCAAAAGGGGGACAGGTTTCTTCTGGTCCTAATATATTCACAAAGTTTGTAAAAACAGCAGGCCATTTTGTAGTGAAATGATCGTTGTATTCTGATGAAATTTCAATAGAAATTGTGTATTTAGGAGACCTAAGTGTTATGTTTACGATGTCGCTATCATAGCAAGAGGAAATTTTGGCCCTCCATCTATCACCCTATTTAATATTTAGAAAGCATGTTACAGCCCAAATCAATGCAGATTAAGTGCTGTCCTTATAGATTCTATTACCTCTGAAGTTCTCCAGGTAAATATTTTTATTGTGATTATAACAGATGTATATTGTAGAGATGTAGATTATTTAAGGTTTTCCATTGCAGTTTCTCTGCTGCTTTGGCAACATTAATCTTGGCTGTCACCATAGCTTTACAATACTTACTTTCCTCGAGATACTATCCTCTAGGCAATAGCCAAGACACAGTATCCACTAGTTTCGCTTGAGTAGCAATGCTCGATATGATTGACTCTCTACATTCTAATACAGGATATTTTTATTCTTTTTCTGTATCCCTGCAGTCCTATCTGTTTCACTCCTCTCTGTCTGATGTGGAGTCTCAGAAATGCCTTGTTTTTGCGTTTTTGTTCTTAGTGCCCTTCTTTCAAGCTCTACGCAGTTTGTGGCATAAAGTCTGCTTCATGCCATCCCTGTACATACTGCAGACACTGAGTTTCCACATCTTTTATGTTTATTTGTCCACAATGGCACCTACTTGAGACAATGGCATCTTAGCATAAAGTTGTACTGCTGGCACATGCATCCACCCACCAGTTAAGCAATGAATAATAATCTGAGAATTACCAACATTCTTGGAACTATAGCCCTGCAACAATTGCTGCCTTCGGGGGAAGCAGGAGAAATTGTATGGAAGAATGGACTTTTGCATTGAAGTGAAATTGAAAACTTTTATTACTTTAATTAAGTTTTGATCTGATGTGGTACGACTAATTCATAGATAGGTTAGTGATTTTTGTGATCACATGATATGCTGTATCCAAACACCCAATTAGCCAGCCTTTACTCTTTTCTTTCTCCTCATCCCTCGCTCCACCAAACATTGAATTAGCGATTAACTGAAGCATTCAAAGGAATGTTCCTGTGCCTGTAGGCTTTAACAAGCTTTCTCTACAGAGTTTCTGGAAGTGTGATCAATAATGACGCAGCAAAGGTTACAGAGACTTGACTAAACAAATGTACAAACTGCCAAACGCTTTAATCTGAGATTTAAAGATTGAGAAATAAACAGATGTGACTGAAAATCAGTGAATTGAGAGGCAAATTATGTAGAGAACAGAGGAAAAAGAGATGGAGAGATTAGAAGGATTTGATTGTGAGTTACCAACTAACGTTGTTACATCCATATTCCAGGCCAGGTTCCCCAATTTGTTCTACTTCCAAGTGGGATGCTTCAAATCTCTAAACTCAACATTGAGGAGGGATGAACTGGCTCCTCTTGGTCATTCACCTGCTCCATTGGTGGGTGGCAACATGGTTAATTTATATAGGATCCTTTCCCTTATGGATACTTTCTCCTGGACCCAAATTTACACTTTAAAAGGAGCTAATGTGACCAGGTATTTTTGAATTAACAAAAAAGAGTAAGAGTAAGTTTATTCATTATTAAATGTGGAAAGAAATAGTAGCCCAACCCCATAGACACAAAATAAGTAAAAATAAGATAGTCCAAAAAATAAGGCAAAAGATATAAAGATCAGTCTCTGAAAGGCAGATACAAAGACATTGTAGCCGTTATTGGATGATACTGGTAGCACTGATGTTGGCAGCAAAAAGGTCCTTCCACTCTCGATTTGCAAATCTTTGGGAGTTTAGTGGCCAATTAATCAATGTGCAAATGCAGCTAAGTTTCACAGTTGTTGAGTATGAGACGCTTGTCTTGGTTAGTTGACTTAAGCCAAAGTAATGGTGGAAAAAGAGTTGGTCTTAATGCCCCTGGGCTGGGCAAAGAGTTTAGTGAGGTGCTGGTTGAAGGGGAAAAATTCAGTCAGTTAGTTCTCCATCCAGTGATCACAAGTGAAAAGTGGATATTGGGTCATTCCTCATGGACTGAATGCCCAGTCCATATTTACTCCAACATTTACACATAGACTTGAATGAGATAGCAGGGGACCCACTAACCAAAATAAGGATTTAAAGGTGAAAAAAAGTACATAAACACTTGCAGAAATGCAGAGCAGGTCAAGTCACCCACTGAAAGAGAATGGCAAGTTGATGTTTCTGGGGTAATAGTTTATGGGAATTGACATTGTTGAGGCCTTCTAGTCAAACTCTGAGGTTTCTGATAAAAGGCTACGCCCCAAACCTGTGATTTATCTTTCTATTGCAGCTATAGATGACTTTCTTTGTCCTTCTAGCATTTTTCTCATTTTTCTAAATTGAGATCTTTGGTAATTATATGACTGCATATACTCTGTACTTCCTACAAAGAATCAGTTTCAATGGGTGAACTGCTTCGCAGTAATAAACCTTTATGAAGCTTTCAATGCAATTCAGAAAGACATTATTTGAAGTCAAGGTGCTTCATGGTGATTCACCCCAATGCAAAGAGAATAGAATGCTGTTAATTCACAGTAGAGTTCACTAAGCTGGATATTTAGTAGACCTTGAGGTGATGCTAAGGCTGAATTCAAAATAGGAGTGTTTATATTTATTATATTTTGTTTAACCCTTTATTGAATATTTAACTGATTTTCCACTTTGCTGAATTTCACCATGCCATCACATGATCAGTGTCCGGTAAGGCAATAAAAAGGAAAGGAAAAATCAGAGGGATAAGTCATAGAATTATACAGCATGGAAGCAGGCAGTAACTGAGTAGAGTTATGGTAGAGACACTAAGAACTGGCTCGCTTCTATCTCAGCTGTACAATAATTTAAATAGGCTAAGGGGGAGGAAGCAAAAACATTTGTTGCCTATATGTTCCTACCAACATTTTCAACAAATAATGGGTAACTGTGCATAAAGTGTGCTGGCTAGGATTAGTCTTTTTCAGTTGCATTCTGGCCCGATAGTGAGATTGTGGCTTGAGGTCTGATGTTTGCTGAAATAACTCATCACAAATTTTAGTTGCGAGAGCCCCCAGATCATAAGGAAGAGAAATGAGTAGAAACGAGGAATTACTTCTATCTTTACAAAATCAGACTTTTGAAGAAAGAATGAAATTCTTTTAATGAAAAACAGGGGACCATATGACTTTGAAATGTGTATTTTCTGAGAATGCAACTTTATTGTTGTTAAGGAGAGAACCTTTTTTTTTGCCAAAGGAAATATAACTCCCAGGCCACTGGTATCTCGATTACAGAAACGCCCCACTAAAAAATTACAGTGCCTGCAACCTCAGGTCACAGCAAGCAACATGATGGCATCCTGTCGTAAGTTGACACCATGACCTTCAAAATGAAGCAATGGAAGTTCCCCCTTTTGGATCATAAACTCAAAGAGAGAAAATAAGTTTACCGAGAGAATTGGAAATCATTTCTAAAATAATATTCTGCATCTTGTGTAAAGTTTGTTATCCCGTAAACTTTAAAATGGCCTTTCTCAGAATGCATTATCAGGAACGTTTGGGAAAATGGTTAGGAGGAAGGCGAGTTTTTTTTTAGAAATATTTAGAATTTATTTGTCTTTCATTCAACTTTGATTTGTGAGTACTGAATGGAAGGTTATTCACAAAGATGTCCTCTGGTAACTATAAGAGCCTTTTTTACAAACTTTGGTTAATCTCACAATTGGGTACATTTTACAATTGACAACAGTGGTAAACAGCTTCAAATGGTGGGAGCATCTTCGAGGGGCTTGTGAATAAATCAATGTACCCAATTCATAACCTGCCTAGTTGGACAGAAAATCTTGCAGGTTGCAAATTAGCCATATCTACCTCCACAGTCCACACCCCAATTCCTCATGGGTGTTCCCATCACACCAATTGTATGTGAAATTGAGGTAAAATTCATATCCATATTTATTAATTAGATGAACCTCCGCTCACACAGCTTTAATGTAGATTTAGTGCTATCTTTGATACTTTTGTTTAATATCAGGACTCCCAGCTATGATCGGTAAAACTGTGTGCAAATGGAATAGATTGTACCGCTTCTGGGAGCTATGCAATCATCCATTTATATAACACCTTATGTAAGAAAGACTTATAAAACTGATGCCAGGAAGGGGGATATTAGAGTGAGGACTGAACATTTCAGATCAAATCTAGTAGCTTTGAGAAGATTTTTATAGGAGCAATTGGAGGGAGTACAGAGGTTTTCAGCCTAATAAGATGGAGAGGAAAATGGGGTGGCACGGAGGCTCAGTGGTTAGCACTGCTGCCTAACAGCGCCAGGGGCCCGGGTTCGATTCCAGCCCCAGGCGACTGTCTGTGTGGAGTTTGCACATTCTCCCCATGTCTGCGTGGGTTTCCTCCAGGTGCTCCGGTTTCCTCCCACAGCCCAAAGATGTGCAGGTTAGGTGGATTGGCCATGCTAAATTGCCCATAGTGTTCAGGGATGTGTAGATTAGGTGGGTTATAGTGGGGTGGGTCTGGGTGGGATGCTTTGAGGTTCAGTGTGGACCGGTTGGGCTGAAGGGCCTGTTACCACACTGTAGGGATTCTATTCTATAAAAAAAAAGTTAAAGATGAAGTGAAGTATGTTCATGTGCGGTTCTGCCAACTGCATAGCGTCAATTCCAAACACAGTCCTCTACTTGTTTCCTTCACTGAGCCTTGATTAAAGACTAAGGTGTGAATAATTGCACTAAGCAAGATGAAGGATAGATGTGGTTACACCATTGTGTACAAATTATTTGTTATATGTATGCACAATAAATATTTTATAAATAATTTGTGCTTGTTTTAAACTGCCTCAGTCCCTGAAAGCAAAGTGTGTGCAAGGTTACTTTTAACTTTATTATATTTACCATTTTGAGGTGAGGATCAGTGATCTGAATTGAACCTGCGAAATACTGCACATTTTCATTATATTTTGAATTTTGTTGTTATAGTAGAATCTGTTCTAGCTCATCTACAGGTTCTGCTGATGGGTAATCTTGAGTCTTGATCAGGTTTTCTTTTAAGGCTGCTAATCTGGGATCCTTTGTGAGAGAGTGATGGAAATGGAACACCATGTGGTTATTTAGAGATTAATTGCTAAGAGATTTCTGCAGTTTGGCAATTGTTTGTAAATCTTAACAGTGTTTCCTTTTAAGAAATGACAGCCTATCAAAGTCATAAAAACCGACAAGAAAAATATCAGACTTCTACATTTTTGTGCTTTTAGCACAGTGAAGTGCAGCAGATGTGCTATGTGAAAGATTGTTTTATATAACTAGTAATTCGTCCATGTATTTGCACTATATGCAACAGTTTTAATATATTGTGGGTGGTATTTAAAGCTTGGTTTAATGTTTTTTAAAAAATCAACATGCTTGGATTTAAAATTGTGTTTGTCTCATGGAAAGAAGCACCATATACTGTAGAGTTCATTTTTATTGGGTAGTATGTGGGTGTGAGATACACAATCTCATGCCCAGGGCATTATCACGAGAACATAAGAGCCATAGGGACCATAATATGTATTGACCAGGTTAATTAATTAATTAGGAGGAGACACTGAGGGTATTTCCTCAAAACAACAAAGGCTATCGGGAGACTTCCCAATCCATCCTATTTTCCCAGGTTGAAAAGCCTCTGATTGGGGCTTATCCATTTAGAATTGTTACCAAAAGTGAGGAGAGGTATTAAAATATATTGCAGTACCTCGAGTCTGGAATACTATAGGGAGTAGTTCAGGCAGAGATCATTGCAGATCTCTTTTAAGGATAAAGTGCAATTAATATTTGAAGTTAAGGAAGATGCAGGGCTTTTGGGAGAGCACAGGACAAGTAAAGTTTTTGATTGTTTAAACCAAGAATTGCCACAGACATAGGGGGTTGACTAGGCTCCCTGTGCTATAAAACTCTGGTTCTGTAATCCGATGAGGTCAGAATTTACCAATTCCATTGCAAAATAAAAACATAATTTTTGTAAGGTATTTATTAAGAAAATGAATAGCAGGCAAAGAAAATCTGCACCAAATCCAAAGAATGAATGTAGAAGATGAGAGAAATGAAGGACAAGGAGCTTGGGAACAATACAATTGCTTTGTTTCTCAGTTCAGCCAGTATTGGGAAGGAGCTTGAACCCAATCAAATCAAATAGCATGTGTTTCCAATGCTACCCTTACAAGGTACAGTACAACGTTACAAGGCATGCATTTTTTTTTATATTGGGATCTTACATGATGGCTCATATTGAGAGATAGGAGAGCCTACTGCAATACTATTTAAAATGTGCTTTCAAATGCGGTAATCAAATGAGCACTCTGATCATTTGTGTCAGAAAAATTATTGCATGCATTGTGCTGTTAGATTCAATGGATAATTGACAAATACGCTACCTCCAAAAAGTTAAAATTCTTATTTATTTTTATGTATTTTTGTAAAACAACTAATATTCCACCCAGATATTGTTGAAATCTAACTGTTGTAAATGCAACTGATGACTTGGTAACCTAATAAAATCAAATTCAAAACATATCTGGCTGTCATTCTCTGCTCATTACAGAGATAATACCAAAGTTATTAAAAAGTCAGTTATATCACAGTGACATAAATCTCTTGTCTCTTGAAATTTCAATTGAGTTGTAAGAATTTTTAAAAATGTCTTATGGTCACCATACTACCAAATTATTTTGTCTTTCAGTACATTGCCGCTGAGACATTATTGGTCCAGAAAGGTTTGCGCAGATAAGTCGATCCACTCAAAATTCAAAAGTTCTATTTTTCCAACAGCCTCAAATTTTGGCTGCTGCACCAGAATTTATAGATAACTTGGCCAAGACTTTTCTCAACTCTACAATTTCTTGGTCTCAACATTGACATCCAATAGAAATGTCAATAGGCTGACGGAGCAAGGTAACTAAAGCCAAGTTGTGAATTATGCCAGTTACAAGTTATTTTTGCTAGCAAAGGTTCTGATTTTGCTCTGTCATTTCCCCTCAACCGAAAAAAAAATGGTGCTGGAGTGAACTAATTTTTGGAAAGGAAATGCCAGCTATTTACCACGTACCAAGATTTCGGTGAATTGAATGAGCAATCTGCAAGTTAGTTTAGCCCCTGACCAGCAGAACCATGTTTCATAAAATGTTAGCTCATTGACATACCCCTGCAGGATGGAGATGTGATCTTGTTTAATGTCTCATGAGAAGGATGATTGGATTGGACGTGGTACTATAATTGTGTAGTTTTTGTTTTGATACAGTGGGGAACAAAATGGGCTTGAGGCATTAGTTGGTTAAAGAAAAACAATTTGAAAGAATGATAATTTGACAAGTGCAATCTCCTTCTGATGCAGGTTTGTTGGGTAGTACGTACACAATCGAAACTGTGATGAGAATACTTTTGCTCTAGTAAGTCATATACAGTCATATACACTGCAACAGCCATATTCTCTACTGCTTACAAGCTTTGGCTACAAAACATTGTACTTCTGTGTTTGCTTTAAGACTAAACATTTATATGAAAAATTGGTTTTTAATGTAATTTTTATATTCATGATTTTTGTTAGTTAGACCAATGACCACTGCAAAACTTCAGACACCTTTACAGCCCGAGATGTGTGCACAGCCTAAGTTGTACACTAGAAAGACTGACCTTTATACTTCATAACTTTATGAAAACTCTAAACTAAACAAAATCTAATAATGAATCTGGCTTAATTGAGTTAACAATCCAAAAGGATACATTCAGCTGCACTTCATGATCGTATGCCACAAAAACATCATATCACTAAACATAATTACATTCAGTCTTTATTATGTTACAGCAGAACCTAATCAAAGCACGTTTAAGTCTTGTGCTTTGGCGCCACATAAGTACAACTTGGAAATAATTGGTCAAATTCCAGAGATTTAATGGAAATATTCTGCTACTGTATATGACTTACTAGAGCAAAAGTATTCTCATCACAGTTTCGATTGTGTACGTACTACCCAACAAACCTGCATCAGGAGATTGCATTTGTCAAATTATCATTCTTTCAAATTGTTTTTCTTTAACCAACTAATGCCTCAAGCCCATTTTGTTCCCCACTGACTTTCCCTCCTAAAATCATTCTGTTTCCACATTGTAGGGATTCTATGAAATCTATTCGCCACATGGTGAAAAGGAATTTAACTTTCCTTGCTTTTAATTCTGCATTTACTAGTGTACTATTTGAATCTTTCAAGAGTAACACACTTGGATTAATTTAGTAACGTTTTCATCAAGGAAATGAAAACAGGGTTCTGATTAGGTTCAGTCTTCCTCAAAGTCACTCTTTCACAGGCCAAGAATTTGTCTTTTATACAGCCCAAATATTAAAATAAAAATGTCTTGAGGAATTACCAATCTAGATTTGGAGAAGATGGTGTAATGATTATGTCCTTAGACTAGCAATCTAAAGATCCCAGTTAATTACTCCTGAGGGCATGGGTTTAAATCCTGCAACTGGTGGGTATTAAAATGAAATGATTACGTACTGAACTAAAAGTTAAACTGTTATTGTGACCATAAAACTGTCATCAAGGCTCTCGGGTCAGAATATCCAGGTTGAAGTCCTTGCTCTTCAGAGAAGGAAATCTGCCATCCTTAGTCAGTCTGACCTACACGTGGTTCCAGTTCCACAGCATTATGAGCTGATTCTGAACTGGCCTTTGCAATAGTCCAGCAGGCCACTCAGTTCAAATAAAAACCAAAAGAACTGCGGATGCTGTAAATCAGGAACAAAAACAAAGTTGCTGGAAAAGCTCAGCAGGTCTGGCAGCATCTGTGGAGGAGAAAACAGAGTTAACGTTTCGGGTCCGGTGACCCTTCCTCAGAACTCAATTCAAGTGATAGGTCACAAATGGCCTTGCCAGAAAATTTGATAAAAGGCATCTAAGGCAATCTTTTGACTGATGATCAAAAGCTTGGTTCAAAGAGATATGCTTTAATGAGTTTCATTGGAAAGAGACAATTAGGGAGATGAAAACAAAGTACTGTGAATGCCGGTGTTCTGAAAGAAAAACAAAGTGTTGGAGAAACTCAGCAGGTCTGGAAGCGGCTGTGGAGAGAGAAACAACAGTTTAGTTGTGAAGAGTCACATTGGACATGAAACTTTAACTGTTTCTTTCTTTGTGGGGGATGAGGATGAAGAAGTGGCTCAGTGCTACCACTGCCAGGCACCATCCAAGACAGATGCTGAAGTTTGTAGACAATGACTGCAGTCAGGATTTGTTGTGCTATTATCAATGACATACGAAGGCCTGCTGAAAAGAGGAGAAAAGAAAAGCTAGGAAAGTCAACTATGAGTGGAAAATAGTGCTGGGCAATTTGATTTCATTAAAATGAGCATTCAAAGAGAAGATGGATGTGTTTGGCAAGGGAAAGGGCAAGTACTGAAAGTGACCAAGAGTAACGGTTGTAGAAATAAGGATAATTTTGATCTTTCACTTTTTGGACAATGGGTGATACTGACTTAACTGCCCAAACCTCCAAACCCTACACAAAAAAAACAGCTCTCCCAACTTCTGTTCGAGTTCAAAAGGGAGGTTTTCCAACACCCAGCCAATAATATATATGTTGCCTCTTTTATGGTATCATAACCATTGCAGTTACCTCCGTAGCATTTCAGAATGTTCAAGCATTCCAAATCCTAACCTCTCAAGTAAAGTCTGCATGCAGAGCATGGCACAGTTCATAACTCAGTTCTAATGCCTCAGCAACAGGATACTGCACATTTTAGTTATTTAAGTTACAGTTCAACAAAATTCCATAAGTGTAATGTCACTGTAGGACTGCTCTCTCAGGGTGAGATGACTGGTGGTAAGTTTAACCTGAGGGTCACTATGTCTCAGGTAAGAGAAGAGGTTGAGAAGGAGATTGCTTCAGGGTAACCTCAGCCAGTACAGGAATTGAATCAGCAATTAACATCACTCTGCACTGCAAACTAGCCAACTAAGCAAATCAACCCCGTTGTGGTATCCTATAGGATGATGGGAAGGGGTACAACTACAAATGCAAGGAATTTGCAGAATCTTCTGGAGCTAAAAATGACTTGATTTTTGCAACAGCAGCTTTAAATTCGATAGTAGGCCCACGATCAAAGAAATATGCTCAAGCTTTGGAGCACTAGGCTCCATTCCAGGTCGAGAACAAAGAACAAAGGCTGGAAGCATAAATAGCAAGAATGTTTTAATTGACTGCTCATTTTATCAAGGGTTGAATTTCTCTACTCAATCAGGAACAGGTACAGGAAGGATGGCCTGTTCATAACCAAATGAGAATTGAAAGTATTGGCGGAAAGTCAGAATCTGAGATTTATTGAAATGAAAGTAAGGACAAAAGACTGATATTTTATTCTCAGCAACATGATATCCCCCTCCCATTAAATCAATATGATCAAAGATTTTTTTTAAAATTGTTTGAATTGAGAAAGGTTAACTGGAAAGAGTATTAAGAATATACGATTGGTATCATACATTGCTGGCATCACTAACAGACAGAAAAAAGCAGGATCCAAGATGGTTAGAATATTACAAAAGAGTTGACTATGCAAAGCAATGGTGTTATTAGTGAGGGACTGATCACAGGATCTGATCTGCATTTGGATCAAATGACAGTTGGGTACAGGACTGGCCTGATTTCTAATAGCTAAAGAACTGAGAGATTCCATTGAAAACTACTGCATGTGTCAAGCACAACATGCAATGTACTGATGCTTCATGTGCATCCAAGAATCTCACTTACCCAGAGGATGAAAAGCATGACTAAACTGCCAAGAGTCCAAACTCAAGGACCTCCTGTCCCTCACTCCTGCATTTGTTTACTGAACTAGTCAGATGTATTTTGCCCTGAGCCAAATATTAAATTTATTAACAGCAGAAGGCAAAAGAGCAGAAATAGTTTAGTTGCCATTGGTGATTTCTACAAAAGATAGCTGTTTTGTGACAATCTATTGGCAAAATGGTTATTCAGGTAAGGAAACATCTGGATAACAAGGAAAACTACATAAGATTCTTATTTATTGACTTCAGCTCTGTATTCAAAACCATTATTTCTCATCTCCAAACTCCAAGACCCAGGACTCTGCTCCACCCTCTGCAACTGGGTCCTTGACTTTCTGGTGTGTCTCACCTGGTTTTGTGGACAAATTGGTTAAGTTAGTAAATTTTCCTGCTGTATCTCACTCATGAGAACATACAATTGGAGCAAATTACCTTTTTGGTTGAGAAGTCAGGTGAAAGCCAGACCGACCATTGAAACCTTTCTCAAGTCTCTTGTGCTTTTGGGTTGTTCTCCACTGAGTATTAACTGGTTTTGTTAACATTCAGGAGCAATGATATTACAGCTTGGCTTTCCTTGGCCTCAGCCAACAGGTGGAAGTGAGAGATATTTAGATACAGAAAAGTGCAGAAGTTTTCACAACGCTCCCACACTATTCCCACATTCCTGTGTCATTAATAACTAACAACCCATTAATCTCTTGTTTTGAAATTAATGACTGATCATACATAGCCCTCAAGGGTAGAGAATTTCAGAGACGCACCCTGAAGAAATTCCTCATCACAGTTCTAAATGGACTATCCATTATTCTGTACCTTTGTTCCTCCTACCAAAGTTTATAACTTTACATACTTATGCACAGTATATTCCATCTGCTATGCTTGCTAAGCCCAAATCCCCTTGAAGACTCTTTGCATCCTCCTCACAACCTACATTCCCAACATGTCTTGCATAGTTGCAAATATTACACTTGGTCACCATTTCCCAATCATTGACATAGATTGTTAGCAGTTAGGTCCCAAGCCCTGATCTTTGCAGTACCCCACAGCCTGCCAATCTCAGGATGCCACAATTCTCAAACTTTGTCTTCTGCCTGTTGACCAATTGGTCAAACCTGCAGTGTCACCAGTGTCTTGATAAACAGACAATAATTACAGCTCTGCCAGCATTGCCCAAAGCCCCAGAATAAATGAAGAGAACAAAGTTTTATGTTTTTTTTTAATATTGTGTTGTTTTTGATGTGACCAGTTACATCTTATACATTAATTAGATGAATTTGTCAATTATCCACACTTATATACATTCCATACAGTATTTTCATGGACATTCATTAAGAAGCTGATAGCAGTATACATAATAGAACTGAATCACTAATGCACTTCTTTTTGATTTACAGCAATTCAGTTAATCACCAAATGCCAAAAATCAATTAAATGACTGACAGAAGATTTAATCAGATGGCCACGGGCAAATAACAGAGGACGTAAAATTTTCTCTTCTCAACACCAACCAAAGGGTCATTATTTCTAACTTAATCATTATTGGAAAGGTGCTACTGCACAGAAATTACAATCAACATGACAAACAGTCTTCCCTATAGCAACTGGATGGAAAGATAGTATGGAGTCAACCAGAACCTGGTTACATTCATTAGCTGTTAGTTAATCACAAGATCAAAATCTTATTTGGTATTACCACTGCCTGCTATCTTCTGCTTAATAAGTCTCAGTATCGTTATTAGTCAACAGTTACAGATTTTAAAGTGCATCATAGGGAAGAGGACCAGAAACTGCATGCAAATATTGTATTCCAGACAACAGTCACCAGTCTTGGCATATTATTAGCTACACAGTCTGTATGATTAATATGCAAAACGACAAGGATATCTGATAGTTATCAACTAGTTTAATACTCTCACTGATATTATATAAATTAGTGTCATGGAAAATGTTGGTACAGTATCATACTCGACCAGTTTCTCAGTCCACACTAGTTACTATGCTGAGATTGGAGCCTATTTAATGCTCTGCGTGGCCTCATTAGTACGCTACAATTCTGACACCTCATATCCATACAAGAAAACAAAACTGAAATTGCTTCCAATATTTGTCCCCTTCTGAGCTTTGCTTCTATTGGAAAACTTGGAGAAAGATTTGTAAGGAATATCTCTTTAGCCAGACATCTCCATAAGAACTCAACTGTGTGGAACAGCTCCGTTCTCCTTGCATGGGCCAGGCCCTCGTTTTGGCCAAGATTGGATGGGTAACTGATAATTGGTTTCTTCTAAATGCTCACAACTGGACAATTTTAGCATATTTATAATTTGATCAGCAGATGATTCTTGAAAATTATTTATGCTATCAGATGTTCCACATACTTGTCACTAATGTTATTCCTTTAAGTGGAAGGCTCTTTGGCTTAAGTTGGTGTCTAATAATTTTGTTAGAATCATGTCTTTCAGATGCAACCTTATGTATATAGCCCACATTCACTTCTTACCATACATTTTCTCACTGGACCTTTTACGAGGCCTGAACATTGTGGCAACCCTTCAGGAGAACTGAGAGAGAAGGGGTTTGTAGGGGCAAGTTGATCCTTTTGTAAAGGGGACAGGATGGGAGAGAAACCCTGTGAGAAGGTAGAGCTCTGCTTTAGCCATTGCTGCCTTGCAGGTCACGACTCATTTGGGGCCACTCTGCCTATATTGGAAGCCCGGCTTTACAGCTAGCAAAAAGTAGCTTGTGGACTAATGTCCTCAAACGTCTGCTCAATACCTGATCATTGTTCCCTTCGAACGTCATACCTCCTCCCACCCATCCTCCATCTTGATACCACTCCTGTGGTAACATTGGTGAAGTATCACAAGTCTAGACTTTTAATAAAAAGAAAATGCCTTTCTTTTCCAAGGCAAAACCATGGAAACAGAAATCAGAACATCATATTTTGTTGGGATCTTTTACTAGGGAGTTTGTTTACTTAGAAAAGGAGGTATTTTTGATCATGAAGCTGCCCTTAGGAAGGATTTTAAGGAAAAAAAGTTACATATACAAAGACATGAAGTGACCAGTTGCTTTTCTACAAAGTATTACATTTGCAGTTACTTATTCAATCAAAACAACTGAAAATTTAGCTAAAGGTACAAAAGAGTAGGCTTTCTGCTCTGGATCAGTCATTTGGGAAGGGAACAGTGGAAGTTCCTTCATATAGATTCAAGTTATTGCTTTGTATCAAGCAACAGAGTTTGTCTGTGGGTGCTTTCACATGACTAAGAAACCTTGGTCTGAATTATGCATTTTCACAAATGGATCATATTACAGATCGTTCAGTAACTCAGACTATTCACCTCAATGGAGAATTTTTAAGATATTTTAAGGTGCATCATTGGAACCCAGGGTCCACTGGTTCAACATGGCTCTTGTACCTTTATACAGAAAATCTCCATTTACTTACCCCAAGAGTCCTGTTACACACTTATAGAAATACAGAGGCATAATGTAGATACAGAACATGAAGATAACTGATGCAGGAGCTGGCTTTTTAACAAGCCGGGTATGGCGTAAACATACAGGAAGGAAGTGGGGGAAGAACAGAGAGAGAGAGAGAGAGAAAGAAAGAGAGAAAAATAGATGTGACCAGGCATGAATTGTTCACTTCCGTTAAAATCCACAGGCATCATTTGACACACATTCATAAGCGTATCTATAATTTATTTTAACTAAAAGTGTAATTGCAAGAATAAAATCAGATAAGATACTGAACCAAGAAGTAAAGCTCAAATAATGAGTATCTCTTGACGATTTTATTATATCCCAATTCCAGGGCTTCTCTTTGCCAATTAACTTCTTAGATCAGGCAGAGGACGGAGGAGGGAGGCAGTCAGGGGAATCCAGAAGACCAAAGAAATACCCCACTGCCCCCCCACACACACACACACAAAATCACATCTACAAGCAAGTTGCTTCAGTGGTCACAATGTCAAGTGGGTGAGATTACTGGCACTGGCTGCTCTTCACTGCTTCATGAATGGATTCTGCCACGTAGTCCAAGTTGCCAGAGGTTAGGCCACACATGTTGATGCGGCCACTGGCCATGAGATAGATATGTTTCTTCTTTCTCATATAATCAACTTGGGAAGCTGAAAATCAAAACAGAGGAAACAGAGAAAGGATCAGAATCTGCTTATCAGGATGTTTGTCATTTGCTCAGTCATTTCTGTCGCTTAGACACTGCTCATAAACAGTTTAATCGTGTCTCAGAAACCAGACATCACCAGTTAACTTGGAGATACAAAACTTCCTATAAATCTTTCAGAAAGCTAGTAAAAAAAAGACTGTGGAATTGGCTTCAATTTATGTTTTTACGCCATGAATTTTCAACAAGAATTTCAGTGGAATCCCTCTCTCCTGTCCTTTGGCAGCAGCATTATTCAGTTAATCATTTCCTTAAGTCAAAGGTATGACTTGAGCATAGGAAGAGTCTAGGACAATACTTCATTGCGGCAATGCAGGTGGTATCATCTTTTGGATTAGATGTCAGACCTGAAGTCTCCAGGGAAATATTTGAAAGGGGGAGATGTAAAAAAAAAGAAAAAAAATCAGCAGAATACCTTTCAATGAACAATGTTTGCTTTCCCCTGCTTGGTCAGTGGTAAGCCTTGCACAGACATTGACAGACGTCCCCAGACCTGCAGCTAGTTACTTTTCACAAGATATGCTGGATGACACACGCAGTTTCACCTTGGGACAATTACACAGCAGAAAGCAGCTGCCTTCCCAATCAAGGTAATAATAAGGCTGTGTGGTACAGAATTGACCACTTCTATCAATGAAAGAGTAGCCTAGACAGAAACATAGGACTTAGGAGCAGTATTAGGCCATTTGAACCTTTAAGCCTGCTCTGCCATTTAATTGGATTGTAGGTCATCTGGTTGTGGTCTGAACCCTTTTTTCACCAGTTCCCTATAGCTTCTGGCTCACTTCTCTACCAAAGTGAAATTCAGCCTTGAATAAATTCAATCTTCCAGCCTCCACTATTTTCTGGGGAAGAGAATTCTGCAGACGAACAACTCTCAAGAGTTCACAATTTTTTCACATCCAAGTATTAGAAGGGAGCCCTCATACCAAATGTAAACAAAAATATGATATTAAGAGAATAAAATCCATTTACGAGAACTATTCAAGTGCTAAATTTTCAGCTTAAAGCAGCAGCTTTATCCAACTTACATCCAGAATTCTACGAAAATTATGTTTAGAAACAGAAGTGCTAAATTTCCAACTTGTGAAGGCTAAAGATCTTTGAAAATTCTTCAGACTGAGATAAGAGCACAAACACACCACACATTACCAGATGGGGCTTATATTCAAGGACTTGCTGCAAAGATTGGTACAGCACAGAAACCTCCAGCCCAGTCTGCTCAACCAAAACATGTCTTTTCAACACTAGTAACTGGTAGATTTTTCAAAGATTTAAAAGGGGCCTGATGAACTGAGAACTTTTGGTTTGAAACCACCAATGCTGAAAAATGTAATTAAACACTATTGCAAGGTTAAAAGAAGCACATTGTTTCAGAAGTTTTGAAATCTTAATAGAAAAGATGAAAAAAAAGTCTCATCAGTGGGAGTATCATTCCATCACATCCAGACATTTTATTTTGTATATTCACGCCAGCGCTAAGTGAATTTTCATATCCATGAGTGCTTTCACTAAGACTTACTCACTTAGAATGTGATCTGAAAAGGGAAATGCTGTCAAAGCTTTTTGTTTTGCAGTCATGAGGATTGACACAAGGACACCAAATTTCAAAGGGAAATTTAGTAGAAACGAATGCTTCCTTGAAATTTAGAATTCTTCTATTTGTCCTGACGAGTGCAAGATGATAGGTTTTGGGGAATAGCAGTCAGAAAAGCTCCTTTAACATTGTCTCTCACTACTGGACCTATCCAACAGACCCATACAATGTCTCATATCTTCAAAGAGTAGCAGAGCAACGTAACATCAGATCTTGCTTCAGAATATTAAGATTACAGTACAGTCAAACAGATGAAATTTTTTGTAGGTGTACTAAATGAGACCCTGCAAATGAAAATAAATACTCTTTTTTTAAACGTTGTGAGTCTTATTACTAACTTTACAAGGGATCAGAAACTGAGAGTTGTAAATACTTAAATCAGAAGTCATGGATTTGAGTAGCCATCAACTAAATTCCAAAATATTCACTGGCCATAATTATAGCTGGGGAAATCACAACATGGTTTTGAATGCATTCTCTTGTCATCCAGTCTGAAGAGACAACTGGAGAAATGTTTGTAAAGACTGTGTCATGATTGGCTGGCAATATGATGTTTAATAGCAGCGTGTTTTTAAATGCTGACATTATAACTGAATTAAAAGGATCACTACCAAGGTCAAACTAAACCATAATTGGGTTTTTGGTACAGAGTAGACCAGACTTGATTACTGTCAAAATACAAGGCCATATCAGCATTGGGTGGGTACATTCTGATCTCAAAATTTAGAAAGTCAAGCTTGATTGTTGGACTAGAGCACACAATATTTAGACTTATCAGTTTATATTAAGAGTGTGCTGCACTGTCAAGAGGTGCTGTCAAATCCAGGGTAATTGTTGTCAGTGGAACTCAAAATTCCATAGTGCTATTTAACAGAGGATGGCTTGTCCACTATTATCCCTTAGTTGTTCATTTCCTTTAGTTTATCAGACCATCATGCTAAAGTGTAAATTGTACAGTAGGTTTGCTTCCATAGTAAGAATGACTACACTTCAAATATAATTTATTGGTAGTGGAGATCTTGAACCTTTTTTTACCTTTCTTCAAGATATCTGATTGTTTAATTACTGCCTTTAAAAGGTAAACTTTCTCTATCTCCGTCATGCAAACAGCAAATATACTGTTTACTATTTAAATACTATTTAAAAAAGGTGATGGAGAGAAAACATGGAATTTTAGTCCAGTTAGCCCGACACCAATAAAAGGGAAATGCTGCAGTCCATTATAAAAGATTTAATAGCAGAGCACTTGGAAAACAGTATCATGAATGGACAGGAAGGCTGACGTTTCGGGCCTAGACCCTTCATCAGAAATGATGATGAAGGGTCTAGGTCCGAAATGTCAGCCTTCCTGCTCCTATGATGCTGCTTGGCCTGCTGTGTTCGTCCAGCTCTTCACCTTGTTATCTCAGATTTTCCAGCATCCGCAGTTCCTACTATCTCTCAAGAATGGACAGAGTCAGCATGGATTTAAGAAAAGCTAATAATGCTTCACAAATTTGCTCAAATATTTTGAGGGTGCAATTAGTAACGTTGATAAGGGAGAGGCAGTGGATATAGTTTACTTGGACTTTCAGAATGCTTTTGATAAGGTCCCACATAAGAGATTAACATATAAAAATTAAAGCATGTGGAAGCAGGGGTAGTGTATTGACATCAATAAAAATCTGGTTGGCAGATAGGAAACAAAGATTAGGGATAAACAGGTAATTTTCCAAGTAGAAGCCAGCGACTAGTGAGATACCACGGAATCAGGGCTTAGACCCCAGCTATTCACAATACATATTAATGATTTGGATGAGGAAACAAAATATAAAATGTGCAAGTTTGCAGATGACACAAAACTGGGTGGGAAGATGAACTGCGAGGAGGATGCAAAGATGCAGATGTGATTTGGACAAGTTGAGTGAGTGGGCAAATGAATGACAAATGAAATGTAGTGTGTATAAATGTGAGGTTATCCACTTTGGTAGCAAAAACAGGAAGGCAGCTTATCTGAATGGCAATAGATTGGGAAAGAGGGAAGAGCAACAGACAGTGAAGAAGTCAAATTGTATATTGGTCTTCATAGCAACAGGATTTGAGTACAGGAGCAGGCTATGCTGCTACAATTGTATGGGGCCTTGGCGAGATCATACTTGGAGTACTGTGTGTAGTTTTGGTCTCTTTATTGAAGGAAGGATGTTCTAGCTATGGGACATGTGCAACAAAGATTTAGCAGAATGATGGCATGGCAGATCTATGAAAATTGACTGGATTGGTTCAACTATATTCAATGGAGTTTAGAAGAATGAGGAGATCTCATGAAAACCTAAAGAATTCTAACAGGACTAGACAGGTTATCTCAAGAAGGATGTTCCCGATAACCAGCCAGTCCACAACCAGGGTTCACAGACAAAGGATACTGAGTAGATCAGTTAGGACTGAGACAAGGAGAAATTTCTTCACTGAGATGTGGTGAACCTGTGGAATTGGATGTCACTGAAAGTGGTTGAGGCCAAAACATTGAATTGAAGCCAAAACATTTCAAGGAGTTAGACATAGTTATTAGGGCTAAAAGAATCAAAAGATACGGGGAGAGTGCAGAAACAAGACACTGAGTTGAATGATCAGACATGATCATAGTGAATGGTGAAGTAAGCTCGAAGGGTCAAATGACCAAATCCTGCTCCTATGTTTAGTGTTGTCATCTGCCTTTTAGACCAAGGAGGGCACAAATTTTGGCCCTGCTCTAACCTGGATCATGGTTAACAAGGAACTAAAGGAGTTTTTCAGTTCCCCACACTGGATTTCTGTGTACAAGAATACAGACAAACAAAGTACCATATTATTACATTTTTCTGGAGAGGAAAAACTAAAACAAGGTCAAAACTACATATCAAAAATGTAGTGGGAATATACATCTGCTGTTGAGAATCTTGGAATCTCTCCCCCAGGTATGTGGGGAGGGTGAACTCAACTATTCAGGGCAAAACTTCCATTGAGTAAAAACTTCCAAACAATAAAGTCTACATTTTAAAAAATAAATATTTAGAAAGAGTGCAAGAAAGAAAAAGGAGAGAGCAAGAATATGAGGAAGAACAAACACAAAAACAACTAAGCAAAAAAGGAACAAAATGCAAGCACAAAACAGAGGAAAAAGTGAAAGGGACAATACAGCAACAGTCAGACCTTTCATTCCTGATTCTGCTCCAGGTGACATTTATTGCATATCTCATGGGAGCATATGACTGGGACAGTACTGGACTCAGCTTCAAAACCCTCATGGTCAAATTATCTCACATCCAGTGTTACGGGTGATGAGCAACTATTTGTATAATGTCCTGGACAAAGGCTGTGTCAAGCAACCG